TGACGTCTATCAAAGCGCTAGTGAAAGTTATTTTATAGATAAGAAACTGTGCACGATCAGACTGTTGAAACAAAACGATATTAAACTTAAATACCAGAATCCGGCAATTTAGAAAAGACAATTTCCTCATATAGATTTAACAGTACCACTTCACCTTCTACTTTTAGTTTTTGTTTTTCAAGTCACCATAATCGAATATGAAACGAACAAAAAACTACAACTATCTCAGGCTCGAAAACGATATCAACTAGACTATTTTCCTGAATAGGTGATATTACTTAAAAAAGAAAAAAAAACTTCCAAGTGGAATGATGCGTAGTCGAGATGTTTATTAGGAAAGAGATGTTCATTCTTCTTTCATTATACTATAAAAATAATTCTATCTTCTAAGACGATTTCTGACCAAATCTTATTTTGTAATTGATATGAAAGTTTCAATGAGAATAATGAAATAACCATTTCTATACGAATTTTAATAGATTAAAATCTCTCGAAACATGTCATATATTGTTTTTTTCTTTATTAAAGTAATCGCTTATATATTATCTTAATGTGAACGTATTGATCCTCATTAATGTGATGAATGTGAAAATTGACTTGCTATATTAATCCAAAGATCAGTTCTTCTTGTTAGCATTAATATCATTGTTAGATATTATTTATAATTATTTTGTCAATTAATGTTCATTTCTACCAATTTATTCATGAGAGAGTTGAAAATTGTGTAAGAAAATGAGCGTCCTCTTTTTTAATAGTCAATCTTTCATTTGGTTTATTTTGTTAAATATATTTAATTTTGTTTATTAGTTGGATTACTTTCGAGATTTCTATTATGTCTTTATGATAATAATACACGTGTAATAAATATCTTATTAAATGGTTTACGAACATTAATACCCGTTTTTTGTAAAATTAATTAATAGTCATAGATATTCGATGATAGGAATTTCATTATTAGAAGATTCTATTCAACATAATAGATCGATTAGTCTAGCTAAACTTATAGGTGATATTTATTTTTAAATATAGTCTCCTTATCGTGAGTAACAACGACAATAACAAAAAAACCAGTGAAACTTTTCAAGAGAAATAATTCAATAGACGAGAAAAAATATCTTGTCTTTTTTTCTGCGTTTTATTTCGAATCGATTATGGTCTAATCCTTCTATTGATATTATCTTTCAATGTCTTACTAATAATGATAAAACTGTTCGTGAAGGTGCTGCTTTGGACTTTTGTTAACTATGAATATTATAGAAGTACTAACTTGTTACTTTTATTTGTTTCTGTTGTTTCTATCCGTCAATCCATTGAATTAAACTAACAATTGTCAATATTAATATTTCATCAGAAAAGAACCAAAGTGCGCTACTGTCGACGTGTTTTAAAACCTTTCGCGTTGATAGTAGCGCACTTTGGTTCACAAAAGTTTGGTTCACTTCATATGACCGATAATGATCGAATTCTATTGAAAACTTTATTTTTAGTGACATTTAAATAGATAAGTTGATTTTATCGAAATAAGTTAGTTATTAACTATTTTTTCCGTTTTCAGCTTTTTTTATTCCACTCCTTTTTCAGAATGTCAATCGATACGTCCAATTCATCATTGATTATAACAACCAAATACTTTCGCAATAATATCAAATGATAAAAGTATAATAATAAATAGTATCAGTTTTATAAAATTTAATATTTGATCTTTTTCAACTTTTATGACAAACACCAATTAAGACATTTTTCTCATAACCAATATGATCAAATTGGTTAACTTATACATTTTTGTTATAGATGGATTTGTGTTATATGATCTTAATAATTGACAACTATAAATTAAAATAAAACATTTGATCTTATCTCTTATTTATTGAATAATATGTCATTTCAATATAGAATTATCAGTAAATCTGAATGAATTCATTTGTTTTCTCTTTTGAAAAATATTCAATGAATATTGATAATAGACTAGAAATTCAGTCTGATCGAATACAAATTCATTAATAACATTCAATAAAAACAAAGATCGAAAAAAAAGTTAATTATACAATAATAGGTACTTGACAAAATAATCTATTAATGATTAAATTATTCGAATAAATACATTAGTCATCTCACATACATTAAATTTAATTAAATTCATTGTAAAATCATCGTTTTCGACAAATTTCTTTCAACATCATTGATCTGTAATATTCAATGTACACAATATATTACTGTTTATTTTTAAATAGACATTACTTATTGTAAAGGAAAGCTATAATTATTAATTCTTTATTTCTATTCATTGTTTTAACTTAAGTTTTTAGAATAATTCATTAGATCTGAGATGTGTTTACGGTCAAAAGTTTCGATAGAAATCGAATAAATAAGGTTTATTGAAGAATCTAATCGTAAAGTAATTTACTGTCAATGTCAATGATCTTTTGATTTCGTTTTGTTTTCATGTTCCAGTATTCAATGAAGTTGTTTAATTAAGCCATCCGCAAAACATGTGGTAGGACAAAAATTGTATCGTACGAACAATAAGAAGAGCACATCTTCAAGTCTAACGCATCGACAAAAGCATATTTTCTATGAAAATTTTAAGTTCAATGCTTAAGAATAATTTTTTCTGGTAAAATAGCATTCGCTTAAAAATATTTTTTCGATTGATTTTTGCTGAATCTTCATGAAATCTAAATTGCTTCAGCATCGTCTGCTGAAACAAAATCTTCAAAGATTTCTTCGGAAGTTTCATTGAAAAATTCTTTTAACAAATATTCACACTCGACCTATACAATAACCGATGATTTATTTATTTTCTTCCCATTGTAAATCAAGTATAAATAGTTATACGAGAGTGAAATAAACAAAAGAGATAATTTTGATCTATTGCGGTTTTTTCTATTTTACTCGTTAAACTAAAAGTTCGTCATAAAAAATACGCTTTTACAAATGAATGTAATACTCAAATGTCTGCACTCGATTTACTTGTAAAAATACTTTTCATTTGTGTTTATTATAGTTCGTTAGATGATGATAACGTGTGTTCATTGGATTTCAAATCTTTCATGGATTTAGAAATAGCACTTTCTTACTGATATAATCAGAGTTTATTTATCATTTTTCTGGATTTTCTTGTTAGGTTGTCACATGATACACTTCATTTAAAATAATTAATCGAGATACCAAATTAAAATAAAATATTTGTTTTATTATTAGGAAATGTAAATGAATTTGATATACATAGTACGAAACAAAAAACGAACAAAAACATTTTCGAGTAGGATAAATTTTCATTGAAATTTTTTGTTTAGTTGTAGCAGCATTTCAATCAGTCGTTTATTCCTTTTTCGACTGAAAATAGATCATAAACAATTAGCGACACAACAAATCGTTACTGTTCAACAATTACTTAGGCCTATTCAGTGTATAATAAAGTAATGTGACATGATGTGAGATATTCGCTATACCGAAAGTTAAAATTCGTAGATATTTTTATTTAAGGATAATGAACGGAAATTTCTTTCTACAAGATCTGAGATATCATATATAGTCAACATCTGAATATTGCTATCATAGATAGAACTACTTTCTCATTCAAACCTATTTTAGCGGAAAGAAGAAGTTCTTTAGATCAGTCTGTACGGTTATCGGTAGTATTTATTTCATCAGAGGAATCAGCAATTCAATAATTCTTAAGTAAATCAATAAATTGAAAAATAATCATGTTGCAAACAATAGTCCCAAGTCATATTATTGATAAAGAATATCGTTAGAAAAAATTTAAAGTAACATAAGGTGTCTTAATTATAATAAAGCTTATTATTTTTCTAATGAACAAAATTGTAATAAATTTTTCAATTGCTAACACTTATTTATAGTGTTTGTAACGCAATACTGTCAAACCTGAAAGTTGAATTCAATTATTGAAAATCTCCTTCAACTATTCAATTATTCAATTATTCCATTTTCGAATAGTTGAAGTTCAACTATTCAATAATTGAATAGTTAAAGTAAATTTTCAATAACTGAATTCAATTTTCAGGTTTGACATGTTTGGAGATATGAAAGAAAAAATGCAAAATTTCGTATAATAGGAATCTCAAAATAAAGCATTCAAGCTATATTTGTACTATGAGCGAATTATTCGTCTCGAATCTTTTTGGTAAAATATACAGTTAAACAAAAGGGCATCTTCATTATATAATTAAATGACTAATCATGAAAATAATCTGAACCAATTCATTTGTTTTTGTGTTGAAGAAAAATGAAAAATATTTGAATAAGATTGATACTAGAAATTCAATGACACCAAGTATAGATTTATTAATAACATCAAATCCAGACAAAGATTAATAAGTTAATCGAATAAAATTAGGTATTTTTGGAAATAGTCCATCAACTATAAAATTATTCAATTTATTACTTTGAAAATATCACATACATAAAAGTTAAATAAATTCATTTGAAAACATGTTCAATGTAAATAAGAGGATATTTTTTTGTAAAGTAAATATTTATTCTAAAGATAATTTCAATTATTTAAATCGTAATTTTTTTCAGCTATGTTTTGATCTATAATTTTTTAAATATTTTATTAGATCTGAAACTTGTTTACAGACAAAAGTTTTGATGGAAATCTTATAATTAAGGTTCTGAAAGTGTCGAACATCTACAAGAGAAAATTATCAATCGAAGAATGTCATAGTAAAAGAAAAGCTGATATTGTGAATATCGACAGTCTTAACGAAAATAATTCGTAGTGTATGTGTCAGCTGTTTTCAGTTGATTCTTTTTTGATATACGAGTATTAAATCATATGGTTGACGTGTGCGATTAACAATACACGTTATTATCAAAATTGTATCTTAGGATAGGAACAGCAAAAAAGTCTAAACAGTTGACAAACGCTTGTCTCTAAATGACTTTTTGTTCAAAGTTTGAAAATCATTTTCTCTTTTAACACAACATTCACTTAAAAATATTCTTTCAATCTACTGTTTATTAAAACTTAATCAACTATCGATTGTTTCGTAATCGTCTGCTGAAACAAAAACTTCAAATATTTCTTCTAAAGTTCTCTAGAATAATTCATTAACCAATATTCATACAGAAAGTATCCGACAACTGATGATTTATCTGTTTATCTATTTTACAGTTTTTATTTCATCGCAAAAAGTCTGAAAAGATATTTTAATATAAATGAGAGTGATTTTCGAGCTGTTCTACTCCATTTACTTGTTCAATTACTTTCAACTCAACTTTATGATAGTTTATTAAATACTGATGAATTTTATTGTGTTTCTAACCTGTCGTTTCTTTCTAAATAGTACTTACTTAGTCACATAATCAAACAATTTCAAATAATTGAAGAAACTATAACAGGCTATGCTCTATGATTACATTTCATTGACAATAACTTATTCAACTATGACATTTAATAGAATATTTTAATTCACTATTAGCAAGTGACAATAAATCGAAAATATGTTGTAGAAAGGAAAAAAACCATTTTCGAGATGAATAATTTGTCTTAAAAATTTTTTATTTAATTTTATCGGTTTTAAGTCAGTTCTATCAAATTTGTTTTTTGTTCGACTTAAAACAGATAAAAAAAGAATTTGAAATACAACAAATGATTATGATTCAACGATTACTTTAGGGTTTTCGGTACAACAAATTATTGTTATATTCTAAGAAATAGTCGCCAGACGAAAAATTAGAAATAATAAAAGCTTCATTAAATGATAGATCAATAGGTAATAACATCCATGCTATTTACTTGATCAAAGTTATCTTATTTCCACAACTCTTCAATGAATCAGCAATTTTAAAACGATCATCTTGCAGATGTACAGAGCTCTACAAATTGAAGAGACCATAGTCTTAAGTAATACAAATGATACAGTACACCACAATAAAAACTTTCAAGTAAAAC